CTAAACCCCTAAACCCCTAAACTCGCCTCCGCAGTCTCTTTCTTCCCGTCCACCCCTTGTTGGTCCGTTTTCCCTTCGGACTCTTGGCGACTTCAGGGTTTCAGGGCCTAGCTCAACCTCAAAACCCTAATATAGGATTTAGGATTTAGGGTTTAGGGTTTAGGGATTAGGGTTTAGGGTTTGGGGTTTAGGGTTTAGGGTTTAGGGTTTAGGGTTTAGGAGCCTTGATAAGTAGAATAGGGCTCCTTCAAAAGGGTTCCTTTAAGGGTCTCTATAAGGGTTATTCCTATAAGGGTCTAGTTTCGGGGCCTTGATAATTAGAATAGGGTTCCTGGAAGGGGTTCCTTTTAAAGGGTTCATTAGAGGGTTCTATAAAGGCTACTATATGGGTTTTAGGGGCCTTGATAATTAGAACAAGGCTTTGGTGCCATTCATACTATAATCTTAATAAGGAGCCCACAAAATAGTATAGGTAATTATTTAAAATTTAAGCCCCTATATTACCCTTCCAAAGGAGCTTTGTATAAGCTGCTTGAAAGAAGGAACATTCACTTTGTGGGGATTAGGGTTTGGGGGGATAAAAGTTTAGGATTTTTGGGGCTTGGGGTTTACGATGATGTGGGCCCCTGACCCGCGATGAGCACCCTAAACCCTATAATGTAGGGGCCCTAATAATTAGAATAGGGTTTTACGGGGTTCCTTTTTTATAACTACAGTATAATTAACCCTCAAACCCTATTCTAATTATTCAGGCCCCTATGTTACTGTTGGACATCATTCCGATCCCTGTAACAATTTTATTAGCTCCCCTTGGGCCGCGGCAGTTCAGAGTTCGCTGTCCTATCTGCTCCTCGAGGTCCCACATCACGAAGTATCCTTGATCCGTTTAGGTTTTAGAGCTTTGGGTTTGGGGTTTAGGGGTTCAGGGTTTAGAGTTTGGGGCTTAGGGTTTAGGACTACGGTCTAGGGTTTAGAGTTTAGGCTTTAAGGCTTGGGGTTTAGGGTTTAGGGTTTGGGGTTTAGGGTTTATGCAATCAGTCATGCGGACTGGGTTTAGGGTATCGCTGAGGGTCTAGGCCCCCCGAACTTCTACCAGCATCGTTATTGAGGCTTCTATAATGAACCGCTGACGAGATCTATGTCTAACTCTGAACGCCAACACTGGCCACTCTAAACCCAAACCTAAGACCCAACCCTCAAAATGGTAGCATTGCAGAAACCAGACATTAGGCACCGCAATGTAGCTGAATGTAGCTAAAGTGAGACCCTCTTTTTTTAAGGACCCCCAGGGGTCATGAATATGGCCGAACTCGAACACGCTGACATGCGAAAGGTTCGTTAAACACAGCTGTATGGCTTGCGGGCCTGTGGGGCTTAAGTGGCACATTGCGTTGGCCATGTTGCTTTCAAAGGGCAGCTCTGAAGAAGGCTCTTGGCTTGCAAGATGTCTCAGTTGCTCGGGTTATGAGGTGTGCTGTAGGTTCAACATTGCTACCTCAAGGCATGCTTCTTGCACGCCTTCAAACCTACACTCGAAGATCCTAACCCTAAACCCCGAACCCTAAACCCTAAACCGTGAGAATTCAACTTCGAACTGAAATCCTAAACTCTAAACCCTAAAGCCTCGAACTCCAAGCTTTCAAGTCCAAAATTCTAGCTATATCTCAAGCAGAGATGCCGTCGTCGTTCCCGGTGATGGCGCGCTTGCCGGCCCAATCGCAGGCAAGCGTGCGGATGCTGCTTCGGGGATGTCCCTGCTTTCCAATGGTGGATCGGGGGATTTAAGGTTTAGGGTATGGGGGGCAACCCTGAACCCGGGACTGTAATGTAGCAGGATTGATACTTAGAACTGGCTTTCCGGGAATATGATAAGCAGTAGACATGTGTTTATAGAGACTCTAAAGAAGATTCTAAGTAAGTATTCCGATGGTCTCCGTTAGCTGCTTTCTTAGGGCTTCGGGTTGAGAGTTTGGAATATTAGCAGGGTCTCAGAAGTTGCAGCTGACCATCTCAGGGGTTTAGGTGACATGCCCGCATCCCCCAACCTGATTTTTCCGATTGATCAAGACCCACAACCCTCACTTCACTTCCGTCTTGGCAGGACATGGCACATAAGGCCAGTCTTCAGGCCTCATAGCGTCTAGGGTTTGGACTTTTGCCCAAGGGCAAGTAGTCTAAAGCTTGACTCAACACTAGACGGAGTCCCTGCATGTGCCCACAGCACGCCTCCGGCGGAGGCATTTCGGTGCCCGATCCCGTCTGCAGGTTCCAGTAGAAGACAGCCCCATCCTAGGATGGATGGGGTGGTGAGGACATAGACTCTGTGGGAAGCGCTCTAACAAAGGCCTGGGCCACATAAAATCCCTGACAAGGCCCTCCAAATGCTTCGAAGTCTTGTTGAAAAAGCGCAAAGTCTGAAGGCCCCACGGTAGTGTGGCATGCAGCATTGTTTTCAACAAGACAACGCCCCAAAAGATAACCTTCCTGATGAAGATAGCCCTCTGTTCAGAAGGCCCCTGCACCATGACTCAACCCCCCTCCCTAAACCCAAAGCCCACAGACCCTGAATCCTAGACCCTGAACTCCAAACCCAAAGCTCTAAACCTGAAGCCCTAAACCCAAAACCCTAAACCCAAAACTCTAAACCTGAAGCCCTAAAACTTAAACCCTGAACCCAAAACTCAAAACTCTAAACCCAAAAACTCTGAACCTGAAGCCTTGAAACCCTAAACCCTAAACTCTAAACGAAAAGCTCTAAACCTGAAGCCCTGAAACCCTAAACCCTAAACTCGAAAACCAAAAGCTCAAACCTAACCCTGAACCCAAAACTCAAAACTCTAAACCCAAAAACTCTGAACCTGAAACCCTAAACCCTAAAACTCTCAACCTGAAACCCTGAATCTTAAACCCTGAACCCAATACTCAAAACTCTAAACCCAAAAACTTTGAACCTGAAACCCTAAACCCTAAACTCCCAACCTGAAGCCCTAAATCTTAAACCTGAACCCAAAACTCAAAACTCTAAACCCCAAAAACTCTGAACCTGAAACCCTAAACCCTAAACCCCAAACCCTAAACCCTAAACCCTAAACAGATTGTGGAGCCCAGGCTCGCCAGACGTGCTGACAGCCTCATTTGTGGCCCAGTGGGCCTGCATGCAGCTGATGTAATCCTCCAGGGCTTTAGTTTGGGGCTTTGGGATTTAGGGTTTAGGGTTTAGCGCTTAGGGTCTAGGGTTTAGGGTTTAGGGTTTAGGGTTTGGGCTTTTGGGGTTTGGGATTTAGGGTTTAGGGTTTAGGGTTTAGGGTTTAGGGCTTTTTGGGGTTTGGGATTTAGGGGTTTAAGTTTAGTTTGCTGAAAGGTTCATAAGAGTTGTTTGAGGGTGTTGTACGACCCTAAACCCTAAACCCTAAATAAGAGTTTTTTGAGGGTGTTGTACGAGTTCTCTGGCAGTGTGAAGGCCGTTCAGGGCTGAGTACACGGCTGAGAGATTGGGGCGCAGGGTTTTGAGAGCGAATGTGGAGTTTCAGGGATCCCGGGTTTAGGGTTTAGGGTTTTAGGGTTCGGTTTAGGATTTAGGGTTTAGGGTTTAGGGTTCAGGGTTTAGGATGTAGGATTCAGGATTTAGGGTTTACGGTTCAGGGGCCCGTCACAAGCTCTACTTCCCAAAACCGTATCGCCTAAAACCTAAAACCTATATCCTGAACACGATCTTGCGTAATCCCTGTCGGATCCTAAAGTTTCGATCCTAAGGGCTGTATAGCATAGCTTGGCCTTACAGAGGTTTAGGGCTCTGTGTTACCCTCAACCCCTAAACTGCTAAGCCTTCTAGAACCCACCGTTACAATCCAGCCAAAAACCCTAGACCCCTAGACGCCTTGTAAAACCTGCTTTTAAAAACCCAGCCAAAAACTTCAAACCCCTAAACCCTTGTAAAACCCACTTTTACACCCAGCCAAAAACCCAAAACCCCTAAACCCTTTTATAAAACCCAGCCAAAAACCCAAAAACCCCTAAGCCCTTTTAGAACCCAGTCAGCCCTAAACTCTAAACCCTAACCCTAAACCCTAAACCCTGAACCCTAAACCCTAAAAGACTCTTAGAGAACCCATAAGGAAGCCCTGAAACTTCGGCTCCAGAGCTGGAGCTTGCGAAGGGTTTAGGGCTCTTAGGGTGTAGGGTTTAGGGTTTAGGGTATGTGGGCTTTAGGGCTCTCAGGGTGTAGGGTTTAGGGTGTAGGGTGTAGGGTTTAGGGCTGAGGGTTTATAGGGTTTAGGGTTTAGGGTTTAGGGTTTATAGGGTTTAGGGCTGAGGGTTTATACGGTTTAGGGTTAATTTATAGGGTTTAGGGTTTATAGGGTTTAGGGTTTTGGGCTTTGGGCTTTGGGCTTTTAGGGTGTAGGGTTTGGGGTGCTCCTTGTGACCATCCAGCTTCAGCTTCTCGGCTCCAGTGGCAATGTCGAGTAGCCTGGTGGGTTTGGCAAAGGCCCTGAAAAATTAGAATAGGGTTTGGGGTTCCTTTAAAAGGGTTCCTTGAAAGGGTTCCATAAGGGTTATACTATAAAGGTTTAGTAAAGGGGCCTGAAAAATTAGAATCGGGTTTGGCGGGGCACATCATACTTATAGTTATGATAAGGAACCCCAAAAGCTTAGGGACTTGGGTGTGTTCTTTAAGGTTTGGGGCTTTAGAGTGTTAAACTCTAGGATTGTAGGGATAGAAACCTGCAAGTGAAGCCCCACCACAAATCCGCGAGGAATCATATGGGGCTATGGAAGAGGCCCTCTTGGGAGCCGCGGCGCAGAGGACCTTCTTGGTTTGGGAGTTACGAGGCTTGAGGCCTGGGGCTGATTCTCAGGTGGCTTATGGCTTCGTTCGGGTTCAGCCTTGAGGCTCCCAACCCTGTTTTGGTTTAGGGTTTAGGGTTTAGGGTTTAGGGTTTAGGGTTTAGGGTTTGGGGCTTAGGGTAAATCCTAAACGGTTGCGGAGACCCGGATTACGCAGCTGCATGGTTTGGATCTGGTATATAGACAAGTAGGTCTCCAAAAAGGGGTAGGGTGTGATCATTTAGGTCGGGCAGGTTTGGGGTTTGGGGTTTAGCTCTCCATCGCAGCTGACGTAGTTGATCGGTAGAGAACACATGGCTCAGAAGGTTGGATGGGGGTTTGGGGTTCAGGGTTTTGGGTTCAGCGGTTTAGAGACGAGTTCGGTCTACTCAACCCTGCTCCAAGCTTCAAGACTTGAGTGTTTATGTTGCTTTGGGGTTTCGGCTGAGAGCGAGGCTCACAACCGTGAACTCTACACCCCTAGAGCCTAAACTCTTAAACCATTTAAAGACAGAGCTGTGATGTCAGCTGCAACTCAACAAGACGCGGCAAGTGCTGTGCCACGCTGCTGAATGAGGCCGTCGTCGTGGCCTACCAGCGCGCAGGCCTCTCCCGCGTCCTTCTCAGACTCACATTTGATGCTGAAAAGAACCAGTTAACGACTGGCATCACTGAAAGGAAACTTCCAAACACAATTATGAATATCTGATATGATCAGTCATGCTGCATCGTCATGAATGGTTGCGGGCTTTGTGAAGGGCTTCGCCTGTTGTCTTTGAAGGCTACGGGTGTCGACGGCAAGGGCCTAAAACAAATACCCAAAGAGCCCCATAACCATGGCCGTTAATTGCGGAACATACCTTATTAAATATACTGCAGGGCTTCTCGTCTTCTCGCTATAATTCCTTACGTAAGGGGTATTGGTATTGGGCTCTCGGCATGTACGTGCAGATGTTGAGGCATACACTGCATTGCCTGCTTATAACTTTTTTGAAGGTGTATCTGCTTTATCTACGAGTATGTGTGTGTGTATATACACACACATACATACGTACTTACAAACACACAGATGGACTCAGGCAGACAAACAGACAGACAGACAGACAGACAGACAGACAGACAGACAGACAGACATGGAGGCAGGCGAACAGACAGACAGACAGGCTGATGTGCATACATGCATGACTGCATACGTTCATGTATGCATTCGTGCATACACACAGACAGGCATACATACATACATACATACCTACCTACCTACCTACCTACCTACCTACCTACCTACCTACATACATACATACATACATACATATGTACATGTAAAAGATGTACCTACATACTCATATAAAATTACACAATACTTACATACTTGCATGATTACGTACTTGCATACTTACATACTTGCATGCTTGCTCACTTAAGTTCTTGGATACCTACATACTTACATGATTTCATACATACACATTTACATACTTACATAAATGCATTAGTTCATACACACATACTCAAAAATATACTTACTTACTTACTTACTTACTTACTTACTTGCTTACTGACTGACTGACTGACTGACTGACTGACTGACTGACTGACTGACTGACTGACGTGCTTACTTACTGACGTACCTGCTTGCTCACTTATTTGCGTACATATTTATTTGGAATATACACACATACTTGCATGCATACATACATACATCTTGCAGACATCCTAGCATGCACACATACATGCATCTTTCCAAACATCCTTGCATGCACACATACATACTGATTTAACAGACTGTATGTATGTATGTATGTATGTATGTATGTATGTATGTATGTATGTATGTATGTATGTATGTATGTGTTTGCATTTGCGGCTTGTGGGTTATTTTGGCGGCGGGGCTTTGAATCTGTCGGCCCCCAACCACTCAACCTTGCACGCCGATGAACACCCTCATAGAAGTCCTTCTGAAAGTCCCTATAACATATAGATAGTCCTCTCAATTATCTTCCCGTTTAGGGTCCCTTTTCGCAGGGTGCCATATTATTTTGGTTTAAAGAGGGACCCGAATTAAAAGAACTACCCATATAGAACACATATGAAATCGTAAACCACCAGCATATCCCTTATACCTGTAATAACTAATAACATATAGGTAGGGTCCCTTTTAGGGTCTATCAAAGGCGTCCTCTTCTTCGCCCAAGATGCTGGAACCTGCATGTTCAGGGCTTCGGTTTAAGGCTTCCCGGGAGGTCAAACCCTGAGCGGTTTAGGGTTGCCCCCCTGTTTTGGTTTAGGGTTTAGGGTTTAGGGTTTAGGGTTTAGGGTTTAGGGTTTAGGGTTTAGGGTTTAGGGTTTAGGGCTTAGGGTTTAGGGTTTAGGGTTTAGGGGCTTTATGGTTGGTATCTGTTTTGTGAAGGAGCTGCCCTACAGAACGGGTACGGTGTGACCCTCTAGGTAGAGCTTAATGTTCAAAGTTGTTGGGCTCTGTCCTTTACATGGGCCCTTCCTACAGGGAGGAATTTGGGGTTCCTGGGTTTGGGGCTTTGGGCTTCGGCGGTTTTAGGTGGAGGGCTGCACGGTTTTGATTTTAGGGTGGGGTGTCGCGGTTGAGGGCTGTAGGTTTTCTGAGATTTTGGGCGCGGGTGCTCGGGTCAATGGCTCTAGCGCCGCAATGGCTGACGGTTTGGACTGGATTTTAAGACTGCGGGCTTTCGGGTCTGAGAGTCAACGGCGAAGCTTGGGATATCCTCTAATTTTTGCGCTCCGTGGGTCTTGTCACAGCGTGCTGTATTTGGTTTATTTAATATCTGGGGTTGTATGCGGCACACCTTTTACATGCACATTCGCAGTTGCAAACAATTCACGTATTTATGTGTTTGTCTGTACCCCGTCGATTGTAGTGTTTGGGGCTTGAAGGCTTCAGAAATTAAGGTTCAAAAGTTCGGGGCTTTAGGGGATTAGGTGGGACGTCAACGATTTCTGTGTTTCCCTTGTTCCTTCTCGCGCGATCCGTGATACAGCTGAAACCCGTCACCCACGTCCACAATTCGAGCCTGCCACATCAAGTTTTAATGACCTGAAAGCCGAAACCCTGGGGCTGCAGCTGTAAACCCGAAGCGAACCCGGAAACTTGCTATTAACATGTGCCCCAAGGCCCCCAGCAAGACCACAACCAGTGAGTTCTGCAGCCTTGTTGGGTTGAAATAAAGGTGGAAGGTAGAAGGGTTTTCAATTTCGGTGTTCAGGACGAGGCTTACACTAAACCATCGCATGTGGACGCTGTATCGGCAGCCTCGCGATAAAAACTGGTGACAACCAGGCTTTGGGACAATGAAACCCAACAAC